TCACTACAGTTAACAAAATACATTAAACACAGCGTTCACTGTAATCTTCAACAGCTAAATATTTCAATCAATTTCACGGTTCATAAACAATTTTTTCCAATGAACTATTAAATTATTATTATTTTTTTAGTTTTCGAGTTATTTTAGATGCGTATACCCGTAAAATAATATTTTACATTAGGTTACGCCGAAAATCGAAAATCTGCTGATGAGAATATGCCGCGGCGTATACCCACGTATACGTACCAATACACCTTTAACGATATTTTTTTTTTGTAATTCTCATTACTTATAACTTATAAATAAAGCAATAATATTTGTTGTATAAAAACAATAAAATGCACATACCACGTAAAATATATATTTATTGTCACCAAATTATTTTTGATGAGGCAGGCCATACGGGTTCCGCGCCGACAATATCCGACGTATTTTCAGAAAGCATATTTATAAATTATAATTAGTAATGCTAACTTGTATATTATTAATTGATAAATTTATTGCTGTTTTAAACATCCTTTTTATATATATTTTATTTAAATTACCTAGTAATTTAAATCAATTTTACAAAAATTACTGTTCCAAATTTATTTTACTGATAGTTATGAATATTTTTCCATGGCAATTTTTTTATGTTCGAATTGTTAATTGTTTTCTGTTATGTTATTCGTTATTAATTTTAGTCGTTTTTCGTTTCTATTATCTATTATCAATTTCAATTGCTTTTTGAATAGTTTAACGTTATACTTATAATGTTATAAAAACGTTTTGGTGCCTTGGTATGGACACTAAGTATCTTTATAAAATTATCCACATTAAAAAAATTAGAAATGTTTATCTCACATATGATTGATTCCTTAAATACGGATTTAGGGGGGGGTCGCGCCCTTTGCCCCTCTCTTTAAAATACATCCCTGTCATCTATGCTGCAATCGTGTATAAACCACACAACTTCTTCACTCGTGGCCACGTTAAATACACAAAACACGTACGATTTATCAATCAACATAACACTAGTCGTAGTCCGTCACGCTATTGGGCGTCGTAAGGGTGGACTGATACGACCCACGTGGTGGTTTACATACATTTGCATAACTTACGGCCAGACATTTTAAAATGACATGATATTCATTATTGGGTTATTTATTAATGACATTTTCTTGGCAAACAAATTATAATAGTTTTGCCTGATGTGGTCGGGCAACAAAGGTTTTCACGATTATAATCAACCGACAATTTAAATTGAAGGCTTCGAGCATTATTCTAATTATTTTTCGTGCATACTTCTTTCCGATATACTGACAAGGACCGTATCACGAATAATACAGAGCTCGCAATGCAGGTTTAATTTAATACAAAAAGTTTTTAAAACCAACACAATATTATACAAACTCCGTTTGTACTAATTCCGTACAGTACACTGACCACTGTTTTTCCAAAACAGTACATAATAGTGCGGCTAAGGTATTAAAAAATCCAATAAGTACAATGGTTACATTTATCATTACCTTATATGAAGTGTTTATTTCTAAACAGATTAATTAACAATTCGTTTGGTTGGCAATCAAAAAGTATTACAGGAATTAATAATATAATTAATTATATAATAATTAATAATTCCTGTAATACTTTTTGTAAATAATATTAACATTGTACTTTGTAATATTTTCAACGATTTTGATAAAAAAATAGGAACGGTAAACAGTTAATACTACATTTATAGCATAACATCAATAAAAAGACCTGTAGTTTTTTTTTTTTTTTTTAAAAAAAAATCATTTAAAATTTATTTTAAAAACTTCTTAACTGATTCATTTTATTGTATATACATGAATAGTACTAAGATACTTTTTAAAAGCTTTATATTTAAATGAAGAAACACAAACAAATGATTTGAAAAAAATGCTATTTTATATTTTTTTTATTGAAATAGTAATAATTTTTAAAAAGAATAACATCTTAGAATTTAAAATTTATCCTCTTTATATATATATTTTTTTTTTATATAAGATATGATTTTTCATTTATTGGTTCGCTTTTCAATATATTTTAATCAATTAAAATGTATTATAATGAATAGGAAAACAGAATATATGTATATAAATAAACTATTCAATTTATCTGTATTTAGTGCAACAAAATCTTTTCATGTTAGTATGAGAAATAAATTATAAAAATACAAACATTTAAAAAATTTTATTCTAAAAAATAATATGTAAATGTCTTTTGTACTTAAACACTTTATCAAATGGAAAATAATATTGTATACTAGGATTTACAGTCAAAAAATTGAATTCGTTCATTAATTGGTCTATTGGATTTCTTGAACATCGCTTAAAATTATTTGCATGCATAAGTGGCCAAAACTTATAAATTAATAATAATCCTTTTTCACCATTAATCAATGTTTTAAAGTAGTATTCGAATATCTAACGCGAAACGAAAACATAATATCCAATGAACAATAGAGAAGAAAATAATTGGTAATACCTATAAGTATTTACATATATATATATATATACTAGAGAACCAGTTGTTTAAAATGTAATTTTATATGATCTATACTTTTAAAATTAACATCTAAACTATATTAAATATAAATAAGAATTAATTAAGAGCTTCGATTGTAACAGTGGAGCAAAAACATGTAAAACCATGTGTCTAGTAAACCGAATTTGTTTATTCTGATTTCAAACACTAATAAACATTTTATTATTATTTCTTTGAAAATATTGAGGTTCAATACCTATTAGTTTATCCTAAAAATGTTTATGTCGGTAGAAGTAAAACACACCGGTGACCGTTTTTGTTTAATGATAACACTAGTATTATGGTTAAAAATAGATTTTTCCCAGTTTAGGTTTGTGTACTAGTAAAAAAGTTTTGATAACACTTCAAAAAAAATACATTAACAATGGATATAAAGTTTCTTGACTTATATTTCGGCTTTGACAATAGTAGAGTAACGCTTCAAAAACACGTATCTTTAAATTATTGTTTATGAGGCTCTTTTGTTTTTTTCAAAAAACACACACATTAACCGATAGGACAAAGTTAATTTCTTAATGATTTCGTTCTAAAAATCAACTTTTGTTAATATAATATAATTATATTATATATATAATTTTAATAATCATAAACTCAAATTAAGTTAAGTTATTTTGGAGTAGACAGTTTATGAAATCCGTGCTAATCTCAATGATAACGGGAAGCGAGTGCAAACATCAGTTATTCAAAAAATAAAAAATAAAAAAATATCAATAAAATAATTTCCGCCTGACACATACTCTCCTCACCGTGCCACCTCTTCACACCCACGCACCCGGGCCCATCACCGTGCGTGTAAAAATTGCGAACAGACGTATTCCGAATATAAGCAGCGCGTGGACGAAAGTTTTGCCAAGCACAACAACAAAAACTGCTTTCCATGTTCCTCGCGCACAGATTTATAATCATTGTTTACCACGCATCGTATATGGAATAGTATGAAAAGAAATTACTGTGGTAGGGAGGAGGAGAAAAGGAAAAAAAAATAGAAAACCAACTGTGGTCGTATCATATATTTTATACTCGCTGTACAATATGTAGTATAATATGCACGAGTAAGGGAAGTATTAAACTAAAATTAACAAACATTCCCTTGTGTTGTAGACACAGTCCTTTCTTCTTCTTCTTGCTCCCCTTACCACTAACCTACACTGCAAGGATTACTACCAGGGTGGACCACAATGGTGTGTTATATAAGTGACCTAACCATAGATTTTTAAGGCTTAACTATGACCGTCATTACGAGGTAAAAATTAAATAAAATATATAAAAAAAAATAATACGTAAAGAAAAACGTATGATTCAGGGTCTTTTTTAACAATGTGTTCATTAATTTAAAAAGGAAAATTATGGTCTACTCGTATTTATATAACTGCAACCTTAATTATTTGAAACATCGACATTGATACGGTTTGTTTTTTTATTGGCAAATGTTCTATAAAAGCACAGTTGAAAACGATAATCGGAAGCTTTAATATTTGTATAATACATGCGAAACCGTTCGAATAATTCGTATTCATACGATAGAATTGAAAAAAAAATTTAAAACACGATATATAACATCTTTATAAATAATCCCCATATATTTTTTAAATTTCTTAATTTTATTATATTATCACCATCGATTTCAATAGTTAGTGAAAATCTTCGGAACTAAAAAACATAAAAAGCGTGTAATGATTTAATTTAAATTAAAAACTATTAATAAATATATTATCAGTAGTATTCGTTACTATGGCATAAATGTTTTATATTAATTATTGATAACATACAAATTTAGAATTACGAATTATGTTTAAATGAAGAAGTATTTTATCTAATACAGAATTTTTTGCAACATTTTATGCAATTTCAAATAAATAAAAATTAACATTTTTCGGAATAATGTTGTGCACACAAAAAAAAAAAATAACCGGAAATGGTTATTTAACGAAAACAGAAATAATACCCATAGAAATCAAAATCATTGACATGCAGAAATATAGGAATATTGTCATATGAAGAAAAATATCTCTAGATGTATGCATCTATGCGAGTTGACAGTACTTTTCAGAATTATAACACTATTATATTTGTTCATATTCATCATAAAACTTTCAAAGCTCGTGTAAAAACCCGTTCCAAAATATTATGTCCAGTGTTTCTTAGAAAAAAATAAGAATCATCGCATTTCGATCCCCGCATCGCAGAGAATAATATAAGTATGATCGAGAGTAAGGACGATAAATAAATACGAGTTGGTTTTATTAAAAATGTTCAATAAATAATGGATCGTAAACAAACCGTCGAACCGCATATAATGCCCATCGAAGACGCATATTGAAAACGAAACGCTCTGTTTCACGCGATTAAATGATAATTCGACGAGCTGCTGCTGCTGCTGTTTCTTTTATTGCTGTTAAATCTATGCTTAACTGTTTAACAATTGTTAATAATTTAAATTTTCTATCCAGAGACTCCGTATCATCAGACGTCGAGGATTCGGCCGCCCGCGTTATGGCCATTCAAAACGTCACTAATCTGCTCATCCACACGTTCAGCAGCCAGTTCGTGTTTCCGGTGCTGGGTCACGACGACCCCGGGGCCCTCAAAGGACAGATGATCGGCTACACTGAGCTGGGAAACTATTGGAGGCAATGGTTGCCGACGGATGCTATACAGACGTTTAACAAAGGTCAGTGATGCTTTTCATTATGTTTCAGTAGATTACTAGCGAAATTATATTATTATGTGTAGTTCAAATATCGAGCAATTTGGAGTGATAACAATGGGTGGACACTCTCCTCAAACCGTATGCAAATGTAATGGTTAGGGCATAGATAATTCAATAAATATAGATCAACTGTTTATAAGCTCAAGTCTCTGGGTAGGGGTAATTTACCCGTCTCCTCCTGTACTTCTTGGAATGCGGTCATGTTGGTTTTTATCTGGCCAATGTACGAACGGTTTTGTGTTGAAAATCAAAACTCCCATTTACATATTAAATTATTTTGACAACTGTTATTAACCGTTACATCAGAGGCTGCATCCGAATTGCATACCATCTCTTAGAGCAGGGGTCGCCAACTATTCGATCGCGATCGAATGGTCGATCTTTTTTAGAATACAGGTCGATTATTGTAAAATTTAATTTTACCACTGTCGATCGATCACGTAAATAATCTGATTAATCTGAACATTAGATTATTATCATTACGAAAAAAACAATAAATAATTATTATTTGGTGCTTAGACCTTTTTTTTTTTTTTTTATTACTCATCAAAAAAATCTCTTCCTAAAGATCTAAACTCTCTTGGATGTCGATCACTTGGGGCTTGAATATCAAATGTAGCTCACTTGTTTGAAAAGGTTGGCGACCCCTATCTTAGAGGGATTTGTCCGAATTGTATGCCACGTCTTAAATGGTTATGCCGTGTACCAACAAGTTTATTTATAATATATTAAAATGTATTACAATTATATATATTTTTTATAATGAATTTTTGTGCACAACTTAAAATTTATTTTGACTAAACTGTACTTATTGTATATTGTGGTCTGTTTTACATGCATACGTATCGATCATTTAAATATTTGTAGCTCAACTTTATAAGCATTATTATATTACTCTGAAATAATATTAAGATAAGAAACAGCATGCAATTTGGACATTCCAATTTATGTTTATTCTTTTGGCGTATAATTCGGATGCACCGACATCGGCCAACCACCGCTGATATTTTTCTTTTTCCACATCGTTAATGCATATATTATAATTTACGGTAATCATTTACAACGTTATACGCGTGTAAACATGCGTATTGCATGTTTCAGCGTGCTTGATGCGTTTGAATACGTGATTGTCTGCTAACATCGTAGGGGCGGTTTCGTAGTGTTTTTATACTTATACCGAACACTAAACAAAGATGAAGTGCGGGTATAGAATGGATAAGCGCGTATGTTTTCAATAGTAATTTTCGTTTTTAGAAATATTACATTCGACATTTAATATTAAAGTTAAACGTCAGTTTGAATTTTCCACTTTGTCGTGCGTCAATAACCAAGAAAACGAAGCATTGAAACGGTTTTTATTATTTTTTTTTCAGCTCTTTTCAATACGTTGTCATTTTAACTTTTACTCTTTATTTTCACTTTTTTAAAACATTACGTCATACGGATAAAACTAATTTACGCTTTCAGTCCATGTATTTCATTTACATAAAGATTTAGAAAGAAAATATTATAACCCCGGAAGGATACGGAGAAATTCCACGAGTGTATCTTCTTCAACGTTAGTCTTATGACTTTGTATAAAATATTTCCAATAAATATAATAAATCATCTTGTCTAAAATACGATTCTGTGAAAGGTCGTGATATTAAGAATCATGAAACCGATTTCATTAAAAAGATTTTATTTTGGAGTTTCATCTTGTCTATTTATACATCATATTAACAGATGAGGTATCGAGAATGAAATGGCTCTAAACATTTTGCTAAAATTAATATAATATAAATTAATTAATTTTAGGATGTGTCTATATGTATACTATATTTATTTGAAATAAAATAATTTGTGAAAATGGGAATTCACGATACTATAGTGAAACATTATTTTCAGTTAAGTTTAGGGATTTAGATTTATTTTTTTATCATATCATACATTTTATATAGATATTATATAATTAGTGAAACACGAATGAAATTCATACGAAGATCACTTATTGTTTCAACGTTTAAGTTTTGTGTTAATTTACTATTTTACTTTTTGAATAGTTAAATCTGAAAAACGTTTCTGAGTAGAAGTCAATATTTACTACATAGGTTGTAGATAAATTAAAATATTTTATCTTAAAAAAAATATATATATAAAAGACAATGAGCCTGAATTTAATATACTTTTATATATTACATTTAAAGCTTGGAAATTAACATAAAAAAAAAAAAAAAAAGGTTTTCATCAAACTACACAAAAATAAACAATTCGCATTGGTGAAAAACTAACCATTTTCGTAGTTTTTCAATTTTCTCACCACTAACTGTATGGTTAACGAAAATCATCTGTTTATATCATCATCTGTGTCCACTTTACAATCGTTAACTGTGGATAGGGTCAGTACAAAACTTTTGAAATATTTTATGGTCTTGGTAAAAGCGGGTTTTGAGAAAAAAAATATCATAATTATAAAACCAATAACTTCTACGCTTTGTCGAGAATCTAAAATTAAAATGCTCGTACAGTACGTGCATTTTGCTACAGTTTTACGACAGCCAAAAAACCTTTTTAAAAATTCGTCTCCATCAACAATATATGATCTCACGTATACGATTTCAGCGTCATGTTGCTGTGGTCGAGTCGTGGTAGAGGAGACTGGCAATAAATTATTTAATTACTTATTACGCCCGATAATAAACACCAAGTCGATAATTCGTGGATGATTATAATATAAATAATATTTCGTGACCAATAATTGAAGTGAGTAATATTACGATACACGTACAAGTACCATCGGAATATTGTAGTTCGAAAATAATATTTTATGAAGCGCTACGGTAAAAACAGTTTATATATATATTTATGCTTTTTTTACGACTATATTCATTAGTGCAGCTAATTCAAGCATACCCAAATCTAAAATCATACTTAACGCTAGGATCTCCCCTATTTGGTGAAATGATAATTGCACATCCACAGTCAAATTTAGATCTGCTACATTTCAGTTGTCTAGATAGTCTAAAACTACTACTGATTATTTGATATATAAAAATCAATACGCAATCACTTGTAGAACACTCAAATTCGCCAAATTATCAGCATGGAAAAAATTCACCTCCACACCTAACCCTAGTATTCTTATTTTAACCTTTTAGTTCACAGTCAAAAAATTCAGATAATTATCTCTCCTAACTTCTCAACTGATAATGAGGATTGGTTTGATAATTTCTGCTCAAAAGTTTCCCCGGATTATGTTCCTATGTACAACAAATTTGAATACATTCAATGTGATAATAAAAGAGTTCAAGTAGATAACTACATCCTAAAAAGCTTTTTTTACTGATTGCACTAAAAAATGCTATCAACTCCAGAAGATCTCCTGCTTCTGAACTAGACTCTATTTTATCTACTCGTATCGTCATTAAAAACCTACCAGAAAGAGCTATCAGCTGTTTACTAGATATACTGAACAACTTATATCTTAACATTAAGGTCCCGGATTCCGGGTGGCAGTTTAAGGTTATCCCCAAACTAAAACCGAATACCAATTAGGCAACTTATAGACCAATAGCCTTTTCTTCTACTCCTTACAAAATATCTTAGTATATTCTAAAAACTAGGTTGGAATGATGGATTGAATACTTTCCCATCCTACCAGAGAAGTTATTAAGTTTTCGTAAAGGTCACAGGACTTTAGAGTGCTTATCTTGTTTGGTTGGTCCTATTTACAATGGTTTCAATAACTGTGGTTTCCTAACCGCTGTTTTTATTGATATTCGAAGTGCATATGACTCCATTCACATACATTGTTAGCTATACTACACTCATATAACGTACCTGCCTCCCTGGTTCATTTCATAGGTTTTCTGCTATATATACGAGAATTAATTTTTATTTCCCCTTCGGGGGCCCAATCATGTCGAACCACTCACACAGGATTACCTCAGGTAATTGCCTCAGCCCTCAACTATTTAACATATACATGTCTGTTGTCGCGCTTGCCAGGAAGAGGTCAACATTCCGTACCTCATGTGCGCAGATGACTTAGTTATCTTTCACTCTCATAAATATCTAAATCAGGTATCGACAATCTTCAACCACTATCTGTCTATTCCTAACCACACTGCCATAACCAATCACACCAGATTACGCACTGGTTAGCCTAACTGTGATGAAGATTACTGTGACTTAGGTAATACCTTAAGAATTGTCCACCTCTCTCCGCCCAATGAACCCAGTTAAAGGCTCTCTTTTCCCTTTAAGGTATTCAATTTTCTCTCATTGTCGCTTTATCAACTGACAATGTTAATATAATTACACAAACGATTTATTTTTTTACTTCAATCAGGCCTCCAAATTTATGAGTGTGAACTTCATCAATTAAAATTATATTTAAACATCAATGATCATATTTGTCGAGATATTATTATAATATTATGTTGAAATATTATTAAAAAAAAAAAAAAAAATATTGAATCGTGTAAAAGTGCGATCCCACGGTCCGTCGCGCGGTACATTACACCGTGTACGCCGTGGGATTAGCGTCGGGTGGCACGTTCTTAAGTCTCCTTAACTCCATAATAGAGCACGCGCAGATCGAGCATGTGTGCTCATGTTATGCGTTCTACACATACATCTAGTACGGACCGGTATGTCGAGCATGCACGAACGTCTGTAACGAACAGCGAACGCCATCCGAATTGGTCGGCTCGCGTTCGTTGCACCACGTGATAATGACCAGATTTACTGCTCGGTATGGACGCGTGTTGATCACGCGCAAATTGAATAGTAATAACAGTTAATAATACTACCTAATTTTCATTTAAATTTTTCAAAATGGAACGGAGTGATGAATCATGTCTAAATTTTAATTCAATATTATCAACTCTACCCAGTGCTATGTAACCCAAAACATAGCTATTATTTTTCCAAAAAAAAAAAAAAAAAAAAAAAAAAACGTCGAAATAAATGCGTTGTCT